GGCAGAGACCCCGGACCCTGCACAGAGCCCCCCGACCCCCGGACCCTGCACAGAGCCCCCCGAGCTGGGGCAGAGACCCCGGACCCTGCACAGAGCCCCCCGACCCCGGGAGAGCCCCCGGACCCCGCACAGAGACCCCCGGACCCTGCACAGAGACCCCGACACCGGGAGAGCCTCCAGACCCTGCACAGAGCCCCCCGAGCTGGGGCAGAGACCCCGGACCCTGCACAGAGACCCCCGACCCCCGGGCAGAGCCCCCCGAGCTGGAGCAGACCCCCGACCCAGGGCAAAGCCCCCGGACCCCTGGGAGAGCCCCCCGACCCAGGGCAGCCCCCGGGCAGAGCCCCCCGATCCCCGGGAGAGCCCCCGGACCCTGCACAGAGCCCCCGACCCCGGGCAGAGCCCCCCGAGCTGGGGCAGAGCTCGGACCCCGGGCAGAGCCTCCAACCCCGGGGGATCCCCCCCAGCCCCAGGGGAACCCCCCGATCCGGGCAGAGCCCCCCGGCCCCATCCCTGCCCGCCCGCCCGCTCCTCCTGGCGCTGCGCGGGGCTCCCCCGGTGTCCCCGCTCCGCTCCGGGCCGTGCCCCGCTCCCCCCGCCGGGCCGGGCCTAGCGCTGCTCGGCTGCGCCGCCAGGCCCGGGGGAAGGAAGGGGGAAGGGGCTCGGCGGCCGCGCGGGCGGCCCCGCACTCACCCAGGCCGGTGCCCTCGGGGCCGCCCCCGGAGCGCGCGCGGGCTGAGGCCGCGCTTGAAGGGCCGGGAAGGCTGGGGTGGGGGGGGTGAGTGTGTAAGTGCGCGTGTGCGGGAGCGCGCCCGCGCGCGGAGGCGGGGAGGGAACAGACCGTGCTGTGGCGGGGGGGGAAACACCCCGTGGCACAGGCCGAGGGCAGCGGGGACGGCAGGCACGCGGGAGCGCGCACGGGTGACGGCGGGCTGGGGGGTGGCGCGCACAGAGCAAGGGGAGCGCGGGAGCGCGCGCGGGCAGAGCGGGGGCCCCCGCGGGACGCGCGCACACCGGGGCGGGGGGGGAGGCGGCGCTGTGCGCATGCGCCGCCGGGGGCCGTTCCCGCGCGCCCGCCCCTTTCCCGCCGCTGCTTCACCTGAGGCGGCGGCGCGCAGGTGAGGCGGGAGGAGGCGCGCATGCGCGGGGAGAGGGAGCGGGCTCGTTACCCCGCGCCCGTAATTAGCGACCGGGCCCTCATCAGTGCGGTGCGGTGATTGCGGGGGCGAGGCCGGCGTGTGAGGGGGTTGAGGGAGCGGGGGGCGCCCCGGCTCCCCCTCAGCCCGCCCATTGCTGCGAGCCCTCACAGAGCCCCGGGGCCCTCAGGGCTGCTGGGGATGGCTCCTGCCCTCGGAGCTGCCCCTCGGGCCCAGGCGAGACCTGAGCCCCTCAGCCAGGCCCAGGTGAGACCCTGAGCCCCTCAGCCAGGCCCGGGTGAGGCCCTGAGCCCCTCAGCCAGGCCCAGGTGAGACCCTGAGCCCCTCAGCCAGCCCCGGGCGAGACCTGAGCCCCTCAGCCAGGCTCGGGTGAGGCCCTGAGCCCCTCAGCCAGGCCCAGGTGAGGCTCAGGTGAGGCTCAGAGCCCCTCGGCCAGCCCCAGGTGAGGCTCAGAGCCCCTCAGCCAGGCCCGGGTGAGGATCAGAGCCCCTCGGCCGGGCTCGGTGAGGCCCCGAGCCCTCAGCCCAGCCCGGAGCGCTCCGCAGCAGCCGGTGCCAAACCCCAGCTCCCGCTTGCTCCAACCTTCCTCTCCCCTTCACACGCTAATAACTGCTTAACTGCAGCCCGCGGTGTGGTTATTGCAGCGGTGTGGTGATTGCAGCGCGGTGCCGCAGCGAGCGGCGGCTCTGGCCGGCGGCTGGTGGCAGGTGCGGGGGGACAGGGGACACCCGGTGCCCCTCGCCGGGCTGGCACTGCCTTCTCCGGGTGCCACCTCCCCTGGGGAGCTGCCGAGCCTCGGCCGCGGCCCCAAAACCGCTGCTGGGGCTGTGTAGGAGGGGACAGGCTGCTGTGGTTTGGGTTTGGCAGCCGTGCAGGAATTAGTGAGAGCGGCAGGAACCCAGAGGGGGAAGGGCAGCAAGCCTTTGGCAGCGCCGCTGTTTCCCGAGGGCTCCTCTCAGCTCTGTGTTCCTCTCCTCAGTCCTTCAGTGCACGATCTCCACCTGGGCGTTGTTTCCTCACCTGCAAATGCCCCCCACCCCAACAGCGGAGCGCCCTGGGTTTGAGATTCCGCCAGGAAATCTCGGCGCCCTCGCTGCCCCGCAGTTACAAATGCCAAATTCCAGAGGGTTTGACTTGCTCCGGATTCCTGAGCACAAAGCCAGCCCCGAGCTGCCCGTGCCGAGCGCGGACTGGGGCTCGCAGAGCAAAGTTCAGGATGGAGTTAAAGGGCAGGGCGGGCTGGGCAGGCCCCGGGGCGGCACCAGAACAATGCCCCCCGTTTTCCCCCTTGCCGCAGCTGCTCCTGGAGCAGAAGGGGACGCGCTGAGCCAGCCCCGGGGCGCTGGTGCTGCCCGGGCCGCTCAGAGCTGTCCCGGGCTCTGCTGGAAGTGGTGCCCCGGTCACCCTGGGGTGTCTGGATGCTGCTCCAGCTCAGCCCCGGGCACTGCAGCTCCTGCAGGAAGGGCGGCGCTGGGGCAGGTGCTGCTGCTGCTGCTGGATAACTGTGAGGATGGGCTGGAATTCCCTGCCTGGGAGAGGAAAGCAAGAAGAAAAATTGGGATTTTTTGTTCCTTGGGAGGTGAAGGCACAGGAAGCAGAGCCCCGTGTCCAAATGTGGGAGCTGAGGGACAGCGCACAGCAGAGGAGCCCAGATCTCACTCAGAAACGGGCAGGAAGCAGAAGGGGAACAAAGGGATTTTCCTGCTGGGTTCTGCCACAGGAAGCCCTGGGAGCCACCACGAGCCCAGTGCCACTGCAGAGGAGAAGTTCCAGCAGAGGAAATTCCTGTTCCCTTTCCCAGGCCGGTGTGGAAGCACAATTGAAGATGAATTGCCTCCAGGCAGCAGCATCTCCTGTGCTGGGGAGTGCTGGCAGCTCCATCACGCACCACCAGAGCCAGCAGCCTCTGCACAAAAAACACCAAAAAAATGAAATTCCTCTTTGGCTAGCCTTGGCTTTGTGACTTCTTTTTTTGTCTTTTGAATTTAAGCACAGTACAGATTCCCCACCAGGGAAGTTCTAAAGTCCATGTGGAGCAATCATTAAATGCAAACGTCACCACAGCAGGTGCTGGATGTTTCTGTCCCGTGGAAAAGGGACAGAAACCTCTGCTCACACAGCATCAAAGAGGGCAGGAAGGGTCCTCGGCTGCTGAGGGACAAACTGGTTTAACTGGAGCCCTGTCCTCGCCCAGCCCCTCTTCCCGAGGCTCCCCTGGGGCCGGGCACTGCTGGAATTGTGCAGTTCTGAGGGAAAAGAGCTCCAGGAGGAGCCCACCCCGCTGCCAGCGAGGAATGCTGAGCCCAAACTCGGCCCTGAGGGTCGCTGCCCTTCTCCCAGCCTGACCTGGGACCTGATTCCTACTCTTTCCTGCTGATTCCTGCTCTTTTCCACGTGATTCCTGCTCTTTCCTGCTGATTCCTGCTCTTTCCTGCTGATTCCTGCTCTTTCCTGGCTGATTCCTGCTCTTAAGGAAGCCGTGAGGAAACTCCTCCGCATCTCCTGCTCTCCCCGTGCCAGCGCTCCGGGGCAGGGTCTGGGCCCTGCCCCACCTGGGGGATGATCCCAGCTGGCTCCAGGGCAGGAATTGTCCCGGGTTTGGGCCCTGCCCCAGCTGGGGGATGATCCCAGCTGGCTCCAGGGCAGGAATTGTCCCGGGTTTGGGCCCTGCCCCAGCTGGGGGATGATCCCAGCTGGCTCCAGGGCAGGAATTGTCCCGGGTTTGGGCCCTGCCCCAGCTGGGGGATGATCCCAGCTGGCTCCGGGGCAGGAATTGTCCCGGGTTTGGGCCCTGCCCCAGCTGGGGGATGATCCCAGCTGGCTCCGGGGCAGGAATTGTCCCGGGTTTGGGCCCTGCCCCAGCTGGGGGATGATCCCAGCTGGCTCCGGGGCAGGAATTGTCCCGGGTTTGGGCCGTGTCCCACCTGGGGGATGATCCCAGCTGGCTCCAAGGCAGGAATTGTCCCGGGTTTGGGCCCTGCCCCACCTGGGGCGGCTCCAGCCCGGCTGCAGCAGGGCCAGGTGCCCTTTCAGTGCCCCAGGTGCTCTTACCTGGAGACAGCAATCCAGGCAGGCTCACATCCCAGGCTCTGGAGGGGTCAGGATGGATCCCTCCTTGCCAGGACTTTTCCCAGCCCGAGCAGCAGCCGTGCCCCACGAGCCCAACCCTCACTTCTGAGACAGCAGCACAAAAAAACAACGACCCAGGGTGCCAGCCTTGGGACTGTGACATTTATTGAAGGCTGGTTACACAATCTCTCCCTCCTCACAACTCCCCTTCCCTGGGAAAAGAGCACTGAGGATTTCTGCCCCTGGAGCAGCGAGGGGCTGGCACAGGAGCCCACGGGGCAGGACAGGGACAGCTCAGGGGGAAGGAGGAGATCCCCAGTCCCAGAAGGGTTTCCCCAGAGGGAATCTCTGCTCCTCTCACCCCCACAGAGCTCCTGCCCTGAGCTGAGGTGTCCCCAGGCTCTCAGGTGACACCTGGCATGGCTGAGGGCCCTGAGCACCCCTGTCCAGCCCAGGGGCAGCAGGTGGGGCCAGCCCCAGCCAGCCTGAAGGCACTGAGGCAGCTGAGCCCTGATCGATGCCGCGCCCGTGGCCAGGGACTCACCTGGGCTCCACGCCCAGGGGCAGCCCCAGCCAGCCTGAAGGCACTGAGGCAGCTGAGCCCTGATCGATGGCTCCATCCCAGGAAACCTCTGCTCCTGCTGCTCCACCTGCCCAGAAAGGGGCAATCCCCAAATCTCACTTTCTGAACTCCCAAATTTTCCTGAACTCCCAGATCCAGAGTCCCCGAGGGCAGCGCTGAGACCGCACAGGGGAGGAACCTCAGGCCGGCAGTCGCGAGCGTTCACTTTTATTTGATTACCCATCCAAAAAAACCCCCCAAAAAATCCCTCCAATTTCCAAATTTCCGTTTCCTCCGCGAGGAAGTCGCAGTGATTTGTTTCTGTGTTTCCCCGGCCGGGCGGGCAGGCTGCCTCACTGGGGCAGCTGCAGCAGCACGGACTGTCCCGAGGGCAGGTAGGTGATGTTGCGCGAGCGCGAGAGCTGGTACGCGATGTCCTCGGCCGCCTCCAGCTTGCGCAGCTCGATCAGCCCGTCCCCCGCCGTGGCCAGCGAGTTGGCAATCAGCTCTGCGGCCTTGGAGTCGCCCTCGGCAGAGATCACAGCTGCCTTCTTCTGCTGCTCGGCCTGTGGGAGAGCAGGGCAACGGGAATGGACGGACGGACGGACAGACCGACGGACGGGGCTTCCCCCGGCCAGGGCAGCTAGAAGGGTTTTGGTTTAGCACGGTGCTCTTTAAACTGGGATAAAAAATAACCAATTTGCCTACTGTGGGAAAAGGAAAAAAGGCAATTTCAAGCTGAGTTTTGGTGATTTTCAGGCTATCCATCCCACCCGGAGATCCCCGTTGTTTGGCAGCTCCCTGGGGATGCTCCCAAACCCAGAGGTCTGCAGGCAGCTGAAATGTGAGCTGACACAAGAGATGAAAACCCCACTGTGCTGCTGGAGACTCCCAGAGAAGCTCCAGAGTGGATCCAGGCAGGGATGACCCGGGAGGAAACCTGGGATGACCCAGGAGCACACAGCGAGCACGGCTGCAAGCAGCTGTGGGGTGGAAGGAGGAGCCTCTCCAGCCGGGGTTACATTGGATATTGGGGAAAATCCATTTCTGATCAGCACTCCAGGGAGGCTGGCCCAGGATATTCCAGGAAAAACCCCTGGAGAGGGGAGGGGACAGCAGAGGCAGCCCCAAAGCTGCAGAAGGAGCAGGTACCTTCTCCACGATGAACCGGGCGCGCTCGGCCTCCTGCTGCGCCACCTGCTTCATCTCCACCGCCTCCGTGAACTCCTTGCCAAAGGTCAGGTGGGTCTGGGGGCAAAAGCCAAGCAGGTCACGGCAGGGACAGCTGCCAGCAGCTCTGCTGCCACAGCGACACCGGGGTGGGCACAGAGACCCAGAGCCCTGAGTGAAGTCCCACCCAATCCCACACCCGGCCCCAGGGGAAAGCTCCAGAAACAAAGTGTCCAAACTCCCCCTTGGCAGAAACAAAGTCACCTCTGCAGGGGCTTCCTGCTCCCAGCAGGACAAATTTCATTTCTGGAGGGAGCTGGAGGGCAGGGCTCCCTCCTTGGATATCGCAGCAGAGGAACCAGGGGGAATGTTCTGCTGTCCCACTGGGAATGTTCTGCTGTCCCACTGGGAATTCTCCCTCCTGGTGCTTCCTGGGGTGCCTGTGGAGCTGCTGCCCAATCCCAAAGCACCTGCAGCCCAATCCATCCCCCTCAGCAGCTCCTGTGGGGTGACAGAAGCCCTGCACAGGGAGGGCTGAGGCCACCAAGGGCTGCCCAAGGTCACGGGGACAACAGCAGAGCTGTGACCACGACGTCCCTCCAAGAACAGCCACACGTGTCCCAGTGTCCCTCCAAAAACAGCCACACGTGTCCCAGTGTCCCTCCAAACTCAGCCACACGTGTCCAAGTGTCCCTCCACACACAGCCACATGTGTCCCAGTGTCCATCCACACACAGCCACACGTGTCCCAGTGTCCCAGTGTCCCAGTGTCCCTCCCAGCAGGCTCTGGGCACCGGGATCCCCCCGGGCCGGGCAGGCAGAGCTCACCAGGGACACGTCGTCCAGGATGAGGCCGAAGGTGGCCGCGCGCTCCGTGAGGTCCTCGCTGACCTGCCGGGACACGAGCTCCCGCTGCGTGATCAGCTCGCCTGCGTCAAAGCGCGCCTGCAACGGCACGGCACGGAATGGTTAGGGAGCGGGATGGGCACTGCTGGGAACGGCACGGAACGGCACGGAATGGTTAGGGAGCGGGATGGGCACTGCTGGGAACGGCACGGCACGGAATGGAATGGTTAGGGAGCGGGATGGGCACTGCTGGGAACGGCACAGAACGGGATGGAATGGGATGGCACTGCTGGGAACGGGATGGAACGGGATGGGCACTGCTGGGAATGGCATGGAACGGGATGGAATGGGATGGGCACGGTTAGGGAACGGGATGGGCACTGCTGGGAACGGCACGGCACGGGATGGAATGAGATTGAATGGGATAGGCACTGCTGGGAGCGGCATGGAACGGCATGGACATTGCTGGGAACGGGATGGAATGGCAGGGAATGGGATAGGCACTGCTGGGAACTGAATGGAACACAATGGACACTGCTGGGAACGGGACAGACACTGCTGGGAACAGCTGGAACAGGATGGATGCTGCTGGGAACGGGACAGAACGGCAGGAACAGCATGGACACCGCTGGGAACGGTGTGGAACAGGATGGACACTGCTGGGAATGGGATGGAACGGGATAGGCACTGCTGGGAATGGGATGGAACGGGATAGGCACTGCTGGGAATGGGATGGAATGGGATAGGCACTGCTGGGAATGGGATGGAACGGGATAGGCACTGCTGGGAACGGAATAGACACCGCTGGGAACAGCTGGAACAGGATGGATGCTGCTGGGAACAGGATGGACACCTCTGGGGATGGGACAGACACCGCTGGGAACAGGATGGGACGGGATGGACACTGCTGGGAGCAGGCAGTGACTGGACACAGCCCCAGGCTGCACCAGCGAGGACAGCAGCAGGAACTGCCCCATGGAAAGGGCTCCCAGGGAGGTGTGGAGTCCCCAGCCCTGGAAGTGCCCACGGCCAGGCTGATGGGGCTGGGAGCCCACGGCAGGGCTGGAGCTGGACGAGCTTCCAGGCACTTCCCACCCAACCAGGCTGGGACTCCACGATCCCAGGGCACTCCCGCTCCCCAGTCCCTGCCAGGGGAGCCCGGGCTGTGCTCACCACCACGGACTTGAGGATCTCGGTGGTGATGGAGGGCAGCACGCGCTCGTCGTAGTCCTCGCCGATGCTGGTGAAGATGCGCGGCAGCTGCGCCGTCACCGGCCGGAACAGGATCCGCAGCGTGATGTTCACGTTCTGCAGGTCTGCACAGAGCTGCACTGAGCCCCGGGGCTGCACTGAGCCCCCAGGGAGCTGCACTGAGCCCCCAGAGCTGCACAGAGCTGCACTGAGCCCCGGGGCTGCACGGGAGCTGCACTGAGCCCCCAGGGCTGCACAGAGCCCCCAGGGAGCTGCACTGAGCTGCTCTGAGCCCCCAGGGCTGCACGGAGCTGCACTGAGCCCCCAGGGCTGCACTGAGCTGCTCTGAGCCCCCAGGGAGCTGCACTGAGCTGCACTGAGCCCCGGGGCTGCACTGAGCCCCCAGGGAGCTGCACAGGAGCAGGGGGAGCTCCCCAGCAAACTCCCCAGCTGCACTTTGTCCTGCACTGAGCCCCCAGGGCTGCACAGAGCAGCACGGCCCTCAGGGCTGCACTTTGTAATGAAAAATGAGCTGGTTTTGCTGCCCTGCTCCCCTTTGGGGTCCAGCTCTGTGCTGCTCCACAGGGACAATCCCAGCCCCACCAGTGTCACCTGCCCCAGGTGAGCTCCACAGGGACAATCCCAGCCCCACCGTGTCACCTGCCCCAGGTGAGCTCCAGAGGGACAATCCCAGCCCCACCAGTGTCACCTGCCCCAGGCGAGCTCCACAGGTCCCTCCCAGCCCCAGCTGCTCAGGATTTGGTGACTCACAGCACAAAGGAAGAGTTCTTTGGTCAAAGCCATGAAACCATTCCCGTGTCACTCTGGGGCTCGTGGGGTCTCCAGAGCCAGGGAACACTCAGGACAGGAGGATGTCCAGAGGTCCCTTCCAGCCCCAAACATTTGGGACCAAAAGAGGAGCTCTTGAACCTTGATGTCCTTTATTAAACCCCTGAAACCATTCCTGTGTCACTGTGGGACGTGTGGGGTCACCACTGGGGGATCTCCAGAGGCTCCTTCCAACCCCAAACATTCAGGACCAAAACCTTCCTCGAGCCGTTCTTTATTAAAGTGACCAAACCACTCCTGAGCGCTCCAGGCACAGCTGGGGCTGGCAGGGAGCTCAGGGCCACCTGAGCAGGTGGCACAGCTGGGGCGGGGGTCCCTGTGCCCACAGAGGGACCCTCCAGGCCACTCCTGCCCACACCGAGGTGCCCTCGCTCAGCTCCTGGCCCCTGCTCCACATCCTGCCCTTGAGGACTGCAGGTGCAGAGGGACAAGGCCGAGCCCCCCGAGCCCCCAGACCCACCTTTGCTGCCCGTGATGACGGGCACGTTGCGGGGCCGCGAGCGGCAGTCGAAGATGATGGGTTTCTGCACCCAGGGGATCAGGAAGTGGGTGCCCTCGCCCACCACCACGTCCTGCACGCCCCGGAAGCGGTCGAAGATCACAGCCCTGTGCCCCGCGTCCACTGCGGGGGGAAAGAGCTCTCAGGGGGGCTGCTGCTTCGTTAGCAGCACGGATTAATTAACAGCAAAGAGGAGCTGCAGGAGGAGCGCCAGGGCCCCCAGTGCTCGTGGCACTGCCGGCCCTCAGCCTGTTTTTCCTGGACAATAAAAGCCCAGAGAAGGCAGGCTGTGCACAGGAACACAAACGAAGGCCAGGGCCCCCCTCACCGTTGTAGAGGGCGGAGTTGACGACTCCTCCTGCCACGGCCAAGCCCAGGCCGAGCTTCCCGATGCTCTCGAACACCTTGGCAGCCATGTCAGCGCTGCAGCCCCCGCTCCAGAGCCCTCCTGAAACGCCCAGAGGGGTCACACCGAGCCGGGCTGACCCTGCCCGGAGCCCCAACCCCGCTGTGCCCCCTGCCCAGAGCCCCCTGCCCAGAGCCCCAGCCCGGCTGTGCCCCCTGCCCAGAGCCCCCAAACCAGGCTGTGCCCCCTGCCCAGAGCCCCAGCCCAGCTGTGCCCCCTGCCCAGAGCCCCGAGCCGCACCGGGGGCTCCCTCTGCCCCACAGACGCCTGGCCCCGGGCTCTCCCTCCCCGGGCTCGGGCCCCTCCGCACCCGGGCCCCTCCAGGGCCCCCGCGCCCCTCAGGCCTCCCCGCGCCGCTCCCTCCCAGGCCGCTCGCCCCCAGCACGGGCACCCCAGGGGCCAAGGCCTCGCTGTGTCCACCCTGCCCGCCCCTCTCAGGGCTCGGCTCGGCTCGGCTCAGCCCGGTTCGGTTCCCGGTTCCCGGACCCACCGCCGCCCTCCCGCCCGCCGCTCCCGCCGCGCCGCTGACCTCCACATGAAGCCCCGGCCGCCCCCCTCAGCGCGCCTGCGCGCCGCGCCAAGACGCGCGCTCCTCATTGGCCCGCGCCTCCCGTGGCCCGCTGGGATATGCAGTTCTCAGCTGCCGTGCCCGCTGCGTGCCCGCCTGTAGCTCCCGGTGCGCCCCGCGGCGGCCCGCCGGCTGAGCAAGGCCGCGCGCTATTGGCTGGAGCGGCGCGCTGCGCGCTGGGGCTCTTGGGAGATGTAGTCCTGGCGGGGGGTGGCACGTGGGGGGCGTGCGGGGACACGGGACAAGGGACACGGGACACGGGACAAGGGACACGGGACACGAGCACTGCCCGCCCCCAGGAGAGCTGGGCAGGGACCTCTGGAGGCCCCACGGGCAGGGCCACCTGCCCAGGCAGCGTCACCTGGAGCGGGTGGGACACGGAGTGTCCGGAGGGACCCCAGACCCCTCCCGGGCCCTGCCCCGCCACCCTCCGTGGGCAGCTCTCCTCCTGCCGAGGCGGCACTCGTGGCTAATTTCTGGGCATGGTTCCTGGTCCTGGCAGCGCTGGGCAGAGCCTGACACCGCCCGGAGCTGGTTCCGTGCGTTGGTGGGAGCAAAACGAGAGATTTCCAGGGGTATCTGCGATATTCCCATGCATTGCTGGGATCCCTTCTCCAAAATAAGAGATTTCCAGGGGTATCTGAGAGATTCCCATGCATTGCTGGGATCCCTTCTCCAAAAAGAGAGATTTCCAGGGGTATCTGCGATATTCCCATGCATTTCTGGGATCCCTTTCCCAAAACGAGAGATTTCCACGGATATCTGCGATATTTCCGTGCATTGGTGGGAATCTCTCCAGTGACAGATTCCCGTGGATATTTCAGATATTTCCGTGGATATTTGAGGTTATTTCCACGCATGGACGGGATCCCCTCTGCAGGGACAGATTCCCGTGGATATTTCGGATATTTCAGATCCCCTCCCGTCCCCGGAGCCGCTAGAGGGAAGCAGCGCTCTCCCTTTGGCTCCGCGAATCCCGAAAAACGGGGGGAAAGGGAAAAAACCCCAGCCCCGCGCCGGGTTCCGCTCCCGGGTGACCCCTTTGGGTGCGGGATCCAGGAGGGAATATCCCGTTAAATCTGGGATTTGGGGGTCGGGATTTGCACCTCCTGAGCTCCGCTCCTCGCTCGTGCCGGGTTCATGTTGCCTGTTCCCGTTCCAATTCCCATTCCAGTTCCCATTCCTGTTCCCATTCCTGTTCCCGTTCCAGTTCCCGTTCCTGTTCCCATTCCAATTCCCATTCCAGTTCCCATTCCTGTTCCCATTCCTGTTCCCGTTCCAGTTCCCGTTCCAGTTCCCATTCCAGTTCCCATTCCAGTTCCCATTCCTGTTCCCGTTCCAGTTCCCGTTCCTGTTCCCGTTCCAGTTCCCGTTCCTGTTCCCATTCCAATTCCCATTCCAGTTCCCATTCCTGTTCCCATTCCTGTTCCCGTTCCAGTTCCCGTTCCAGTTCCCATTCCAGTTCCCATTCCAGTTCCCATTCCAATTCCCAATCCAGTTCCCATTCCAGTTCCCGTTCCTGTTCCCGTTCCCATGCGGGATGAGCTCTCCCCATCCCCATTCCCGTCCCATTCCCAGTTCCCCTCCCGAAAAACGGGGGGAAACGGAAAAAAACCCCACCGCAGCCCCGCGCCGGGTTCCGCTCCCGGGTGACCCCTTTGGGTGCGGGATCCAGGAGGGAAAATCTCGTTAAATCTGGGATTTGGGGGTCGGGATTTGCACCCCCTGAGCTCCGCTCCTCGCTCGTGCCGGGTTCATGTTGCCTGTTCCCATTCCAGTTCCCGTTCCAATTCCCATTCCAGTTCCCATTCCAGTTCCCATTCCAATTCCCAATCCAGTTCCCATTCCAGTTCCCATTCCTGTTCCCGTTCCAGCTCCCGTTCCTGTTCCCGTTCCTGTTCCCGTTCCCATGCGGGATGAGCTCTCCCCATCCCCATTCCCGTCCCATTCCCAGTTCCCAATCCCATTCCCAACCCCATCCCATCCTCATTCCCATTCCCCGTTCCAGTTCCCCATCCCATTCCCATCCCGTTCCCGTCCCCATTCCCGTTCCCCCGGGACGAGCTCCCCCATTCCCAGGGGCCATGGGGAGCCCCAAAAACGAGCAGGGAGCCCGATCTTGGGATGGCTGTGGGACTGCACCCCAAAACCGAGCTGGGATTCCATTCCTGGGGATAACTGTGGTATTGCACCCCAAAACCGAGCTGGAATTCCATTCCTGGGGATAACTACGGGACTGCACCCCAAAACCGAGCTGGGAGCCCGTTCCTGGGGATAACTGCGGGACTGCACCCCAAAACCGAGCTGGGATTCCGTTCCTGGGGATAACTGCGGGACTGCACCCCAAAACCGAGCTGGGATTCCATTCCTGGGGATAACTGCGGGATTGCACCCCAAAACCGAGCTGGGAGCCCGTTCCTGGGGATGGCAGCAGACCCGCACCCCGAACCAGCGCTGCAACCCCGTTATTGGGTGACCGGGCCCCCCCCGAGCCCCCCGGGCCGGTTTTGGGGGACATTTCCTGGCGGCCGCGGGCGCTCAGAAGGGCTCCTTGTGCCCCGGGCTGCGAACAAAGCGCGTCCTCTTCTCCTGCCCCGCTCCCGAGCTCCGAAGCGCCGGGGCTGGGGGGAGGCAGGATTTGGGCTTTGTCCGCCCCAAATCCGCTGTGGGGCTGGGCTGAGCCCACTCCCACCCACCCCGGCCTCCGGGGGTCCCAGCCCAGCCCGGGGGTCCCAGAGCAGTCCAGGGGGGTCCCAGCCCAGCCCAGGGGTCCCAGCCCAGCCCGGGGGTCCCAGCCCAGCCCGGGGGTCCCAGACCAGCCCGGGGGGGTGTCCCAGACCAGTCCACGGGGGTCCCAGCCCTTCCTGGGGGTCCCAGCCCAGTCCAGGGGGGTCCCAGCCCAGCCCGGGGGTCCCAGACCAGCCCGGGGGGGTGTCCCAGACCAGTCCACGGGGGTCCCAGCCCTTCCTGGGGGTCCCAGCCCTTCCCGGGGGTCCCAGCCCAGCCCGGGGGTCCCAGCCCAGCCCCACGCCCGGCCCAAACCCGAATTAAGCTCAATAAGCGTTTCAATTCAATTAGCGAAGCTGCATGAGAGCCCTGCGAGGACGCGGCTCGGGGCGGGCGCGGCCCTAATGTGATTTCGGCCGAGTTCCCTGCCGCGATTTGCAACTCGGGCAAATCGAATTAGCGCTGTTTGCATTCTGAGCTCTGTCCGCGGGGCTGCTCAATTAATCTGCTTTAAAGCCAGCCTGCCTTCCGCCCAGACAGCGGCACCCGCCTCGCCCGGGAGCCAAAAACCCCCCCGGGGCAGCGGGACCCCCGCGCGGCCCCGGTGCGGGGAGATCGCGGGGCTTTGGGGAGCGGCGGGATGGTCGCCGATGTCACCGGGGAGTGGCCGTGACGCGGGGTGCAGCCCCGAGCTGAGCCCCCCGTGCCGGGCTGGGCGGAGCCGCGGTGGGAGCGGGACCGGGACCGGGAACAGGACAGGGAACGGAACCAGGAACGGGACCGGGAATGGGACAGGGACCGGGACCGGGCCCGGGAGCCAAAAACCCCCCCGGGGCAGCGGGACCCCCGCGCGGCCCCGGTGCGGGGAGATCGCGGGGCTTTGGGGAGCGGCGGGATGGTCGCCGATGTCACCGGGGAGTGGCCGTGACGCGGGGTGCAGCCCCGAGCTGAGCCCCCCGTGCCGGGCTGGGCGGAGCCGCGGTGGGAGCGGGACCGGGACCGGGAACGGGACAGGGAACGGAACCAGGAACGGGACCGGGAACGGGAATGGGAACCGGGACCGGGACCGGCCCGTCCTGCCAGCCCGGCTCCCCGCCGGGGTGTCTCGCTTCTCCCCGGTGCCCACCGGCCCTTGGCCGCGTTTCCTCCGCCGGCTGGAACCGGCCGCGTTATCCGGGAAGGCTCCGGGGGCTGGGAATTGCCAGCTCCAAGGAAATTGGGGTCGGGCCAGGGAAAAGGGCAGCCCGCATCCCCCCCCAAATCCCGCATCCCCCCCGGTTCCCACCTTTCCCCATCCTCCTCTTCCTCGGGCTCTCAGGGGATTTGCGGTCCCGGGGCTTGGGGACATCCCCGGAGCGCGGGGACAGCGCGGTGCCACCCTCCCGGCTGCCGCAGGTAAAACGGCGTCCCCAGAAAGGGCTGCAATTAAAAGCGAGTTAATGACTTAATGAATCCCAGCCCGATCCCTGCCTGAGCCTCTGCCCCGGCCCGGCCGCGGGCTCTGGGACTGCGCAGGTTTCATTTCCTTTCCAACCCGGCTCGGGTTTAACGCCCTGGAGGGGACAAAGGGGGGCACAGGGGCTGGGAAAGCCGGCCTGGAGGGGGGGAACCCCAAATCCTTCAAAATCCTCCCAAATCCCCTAAATCCCTCCATTCCTTCCCACTCTGGGACAAGTCTTACTCTACCCGGATAAATCCTGCCTTCCCCAGAAAAATCCTGCCCTTCCCAGGACAGATCCTGTTCTTCCCAGGACAGATCCTGCCCTTCCCGGAACAGATCCTGCCCTTCCCGGGACAAATCCTGCCTTCCCCAGGACAGATCCTGCCCTTCCCGGGACAGATCCTGCCCTCTCAGGACAAATCCTGCCCTCCCTGGGACAAATCCTACCCGCTCCAGGACAAATCCTGCCCTCCCCGGGACAAATCCTGTTCTTCCCAGGACAAATCCTGCCCTTCCCGGGACAGATCCTGTTCTTCCCAGGACAAATCCTGCTCTCCCAGGACAGATCCTGCCCTCCCAGGACAGATCCTGCCCTCCCCGGGACAGATCCTGCCCTTCCCCGCACAGATCCTGCCCTTCCCGGAACAGATCCTGCCCTTCCCGGGACAAATCCTGCCTTCCCCAGGACAGATCCTGCCCTTCCCGGGACAGATCCTGCCCTTCCCCGCACAGATCCTGCCCTTCCCGGGACAGATCCTGCCCTTCCCGGGACAGATCCTGCCTTTCCCGGGACA